CATATTAAGAACTGACGAGATTCCTACGGAAGCCGGTTAGTGTCATGGTGGAGTTTTATTTCTAACAATTGCTGAAGCTCGCATTACACATGTTTCTCGGCCTCGTACAAATACAGACACTAAACAGTTACAATGTATTGTCTATGTAACTATGATTTCCCCCCAAGAACTGCATACAGGTTTAACAACGTCTTATATACTAATGATAATTTATGTGCACATGACACATGCTTTTGGAATAACTAGTGCAATTATTATATTAATTGCAGCCACCGAACAAATAAGTTTGTTCCAAGGTTGCCTATGGGTTCATTTCTTCAGAAGTTCAATGGTCTTCATCGTGACTTTTTCAATTCTAACATGAAATTCAGCTCCAAAATAATGTAATCAGTAGGTTTTTTTACTCTTCCTGATGAATATACTTTTCCCAAGCTTGATGTTTATTTATAGTTAAACCTAAATAAGTGTCTAATTAGAGGCAGTCACTGCTTACTCTGCTGGACCATGTTAGTTCATCTCATGCTTTCATTGATCTCGTTTTTCTTCACGATTTTTTTATTTTAGTTTTAATGAGGTTTTGGATGGGGTCCTTTATCTGTATTCTGTATTTTTTTTAGGTCATTTTTTTCTGTTGTTTCTATGTTTATAAAAATAAGAAGATGTAGTGTGATTGCCAATGAGACAACTCTCCACAAGAGACCAAATGACACAAAAATTAACAATTATAGGTCACCGTACGGCCTTCAACAATGAGTAAAACCTACACCGCATAGTCAGCTATAAAAGGTCCCGAAATGACAAATGTAGAACAATTAAAACGAGAAAACTAACGGCCTGATTTATGTATATACAACATAACGAACGAAAAGTAAATATGATATACTGCAACAAAGGACAACCACTGAATTACAGGCTCCTGACTTGGGAAAGGCACATACAGAATGTGGCGTAGTTGAACTAGTTTGTTGGCGCCAAACCCTCCCCAAAACTGTGACAGTGGTGTAACGGCACAACATAAGAAAAAACTATGCCCATTATTCTCTATTCTTTATGTTTTAGCACCCATTATTCTCTGTTCTTTACTTTTGTGGCCTATTTTATTTTTGGTTCATTTTTCTACAGTTCAGGCCCAAAATTCTCTATTCGGAAAACCCCATCTACCCCCATTCTTATTTTTTCTTGTCATATTTATTGTCAGTGTCATGTTGAGCACCTCATTTCCAGGTCTGATCTGACAATATTAAAAAAAAAGTTCTTTTCGGCCCATATCGTCTTTAGTGTAGAAATTTATTTATTGGCAGTGTTGTTGTATTAATAGTAAAACATATGGGTAAGATTAGTTTCCAGAAATCATAGTCAAAGGTAGATATTAATACATCAACGGATAAAAAAAAATTGTGTATTCCTCATATTTTGCAGCTGAATCAAAATACGTAAACCGTGCACCAATCAGTACTAGACTCGATTACCTACACAGTTAGCTGAACCATGAAATCATTGTTACCTCGATGTCAAGTGAGGATGAAATCGGGAATCAAATAAAATCAAATATGATAATAAGGAAAGGGAACAGACTAAAAAGATTTTTCAGTGTAAAAATAAGGAGGTGTTGCCATTGAGACAACTATAGGCAATTGTATGGCCTTCAACTATGAGAAAAACCCATAATGTATAGTTGACTATAAAAGTCTCCGACATGAAAAATGTGGAACAATTCAAACGAGAAAAATAACGGTCTAAATTATAACAAAAGAATTTACAAAAACAAGTACGACAGACAGGAACCAACAACAACTACTGAACATTTGATTGAATGTGTATTGCCCTTTATAAGCTTCCCTTATTTGTTCCCTTCACTTAACTAGGGGATACGTATTTCGTGGTTCTTGTTAATTTGAAATAAAACAGATTGGAACTTGTTATAATAAATCTTGTATAACAGCTTACCAATGGTCCAACACAGACTTATCAACTCAGCCAATTTGGGTTGCCTGTCTGCGATGTCACAACATGTTAAACAAACCAAGGACCAGTTTAAACAAGAAAAAGACTCAAATGTGTAGTGAAATAAATGCAGGATAAGAGATTCATTCTTCCCTCCCATATACTAATCCAATGGTTGCTCTCTGAAAACTGAAAGGTCCTAATATTTGAGATAATACATAATGAAACGTGTAATATAGGTTTTACTTACTTTAATTTATAATTCAAAGAGAGATAACTAGTACAGGTATAAATCAACTCTGGATTTTAGATAAATAAACTTTCCAGTGTTATAAACGCATCTACATCAATCGTTTCCGACATGACTTGTTAGGGGTAGGATTGAGCGCTCACAAACATATTTAACCCCGGGGCCGCCACATTCTTTATGTGCCTGTCCCAAGTCAGGAGCCTGTAGTTCAGTAGTTGCCGTTGGTTCATGTCTGTCATTTTTGTTTTTCGTAAATTGTTTTGTTATAAATTGGGCTGTTAGTTTTTTCAATAGGATTGTTTCATATTTTTCATGTCGGGGCCTTTTATAGCTGACCATACGGTATGAGTTTTTCTCATTGTTGAAGGCCGTACGGTTGCCTATAATTGCTTACATCCACTTCATTTAAACTTTGGTGGATAGAGGGTCTCATTGGCAATCATACCACATCTCCTCATTTTTATATTTCATTGAAAAACCTAATCTACAGTATTGTTTAAAACTGTACTGGAAAATTAAAGACGGATGTGTTTTATTTCCTTCCCTGTCGACTCGGATTCAGATTAGCTTTCCCTTGAAAATCTGGGGTTCTTTCTAAAATTGATATACTATAGTTCTGCCAACATGATGCATATTTAAACACTTTTGATCTTACCACATACATAGTATTGATTTTTTTTAAATGAACTTTCAAACAATGCAGGTTTGGGTGCTTATCGTTTTTAAAATTAAAATTCCTTGGACCAAATCAGAAAATCCTGCAACTTCAAATTAATCTATAGACAGGTTTCCTGTCGTTTATCTGTTTGGTTCTCATAATTAAGATGAGTCAGATACCCGTATGTTGGAAGGGAGATAACCAGACTAATAAGTTCGTACTCGACAATAAAACAGTGTTCTTAGAACATCAATTTTTATTTGTGTGTTACATACTACCTTTATTGTCCATGCTGGTATAACCCGGCACTCTCTCACAATTATGTTCTCGCGTGATTTTTTTTATCTACGTTTTTTTTCTAATCTAGTCATCTCGTGATCATGCATGTATATCCAACATAAATACCTTAAAATAAAACCAGATCATGAAAACAAAGAGGAATTTTACGCGAAAAATATTCTTTTTAATGAATTGGCATGACATCTGGATGTCTTTTGGGTTTTTGTTTGTGAAATTGAGTTCCTGACTCATAGTGTTTACTTCACATCTCATTTTAAGTTGAGTCGCACGTGTAACGGATTTTAATAGGACGTTCTTCTTGTAAGCCATGTTCTAAATCAGGAAAACAGGCGGTGCACGTGCGCGACATTACAATTAAGCTTGCATCGTCAGTTTTCAAATACAATGGAGATATTTCAGAGGATGCTACTCGGGAATTCAATGAAATCTTTTAAAAAAAATAGTTTTTAATTTGTCTGTTTACTGTTTAATCGTGAAAAGAAAAAAGAGTACAATTTTCATATTAGAATCAAATTTACTAATTCATGTCATGTTCGGGGCCTCAGTGGCCGGGTACTAACTGTCGATCTACAGTATCACTAGCGTGTCAACACTGATGTTGTAAGTTTGAACCCTGCACATTGCATGTGCGTTCGACTCCGATATCATAAGATGACTAAGATTGTCAGTTTTTCTGTCGAAGGTCGGTCGTTCTCTCTAGGCAATACGGCTTTCTCTTACAATAAAGCTGGCCGCTTCGATAGGACCAAGCGTACTGAAAGTGGCGTCAACGCCAACAATCCATCAATTATATCATTGTTATGCTCTCTAACCATGTGTAGACATTACATTTGTCAATAGTGTGTCCTTCGTTAACGCTCGCTATGACTGAGGTATTGACACGTATAGTGTCAGCCTTCCCATAACAAAAAGGGCAGAGCTCATGACATGAAAGATTTATTGTTTTTTAAATATACTTACATTTTGGATCACCTGATATTACAATGTTGAAAACCATAAATCATTATTGTTGTCGTAAAATTTAATGGAGTTCAACCTTCACTGTTGTCAAAATAGAAATCAGTTGTTAATTCTGATATCTGGTTCTTTGGAATATACTTAAGTATCATTTATGAAAGGGTACTAGTATACATTAATCCAAAGCAAAATCTAAAGCTCATCATAACCTTGTTTGTTCATCATAAATAGACATTGGACGACAATACTCTATATATTACAACAAACGTGATAAGATTGGTGCACGAACTTTGGTAAAAAATGTATATTAATCTATTATATTTTGTTTTAGTTCTTTTAACTGAAGTAACACGAAGGGTGTCATAAGCTAAGCAGGAGTTCGTGTTGTTCTATCTTTAGCTCGCTGTGTAGTCTCCTTTACTGTTGTTTGTCCTTTCGCCGTTTTTGTTTTTGCCATGGTATTGTCTGTTTTTGCCATGGTATTGTTTGTTTTTGCCATTGTATTGTCTGTTTTTGCCATGGTATTGTCTGTTTTTGCTTTGCCATGGTATTGTCTGTTTTTGTCATGGTATTGTCTGTTTTTGCCATGGTATTGTTTGTTTTTGCTTTCACTTTTTTTATATTATCTCTTTGATATTTTCACCCAAATTTTGAAATGAGTTTTTTTCTGTTGCCATCCTAAAAAAATCGCACCATTTCCATTTTGTTATATTGCTAGACAAAATAGGTAACATGACTTTCAATTAGAGTCTTTCATCTGATATGAGGGATAAAAATGCAAAGTGATTCAGACTATAATGACCGAGAAAGTACCTTATATACGGTTTCGAATATTTTTATAAAATGATTGCAAAACAGAATGGGTTGATAAAGGATGATATAGAGAAAGTATTGTGTTCAAAGAATGTGTCATTTATTTAATAAGTACAAAACAAATAAATCATAGTTTAAGTAAACTCTTGAAGTAATATTATCAATGGTACTTCAATAACAAAGCAATCCACGTTGAGTATGTTGTTAATGCATACATATGTATATTTTGACAGTTTTATGAATTACAATTTCTTTAATAAAGATTTCAATCTGTAAGGGTTAATGTACTTTGTAATTTGTCATCAAATTGTCAACTATACATACATTATTATTGTACAAGTGTTTTAGCACCGGGAAACATTAAAATTATTTAAACTATTATACTTTCACTACTATCTCTACCACCGATATACATGTACAACTCTTTTAATATATGACTTTTTTGAATAGCACAATCGTATAATTCTCAAAGCTTTGCATTTAAACTGTTTTGGCAAAAATGAATCACACTTAAATAAAAAGGGCAATGAAAAGCGCAGAAAATACGATATTCATGTTTGATCGAGCATTAGAATATTTAGCAATCTTTCATATATTCAGTATATTATCCCAAAAATAAGGGGATGGATACATGATTTTAGGTTAGATACCAAACGAGTTGAGTCAATTGTGCCATGCTTTGAGTTCTATGCTTTTTTTTACTACTTTGGATATACAAACTATAAGCTTTTTGATTTTTCGTTCAGTTGCATACTAGAGAAAATACCCCTTTACATTCAACTCTGCTTTTGAACTATAGTTCAGTTGACTTACGCTGAATATGAATCCAAGCTGCCCAAATTTTACTTTTTAAATTCATATATACTTAAAAATATGGCTGAAACTTTCATTAAATTCTTCTGCAAGTGGTCACTATTTTTATGCGAATAGTTCTCATAATCATTTGTAACATTTAATACCATCACAGTTTAAAGCCTTTTACCATCCGTTTTATAGTTATATATGCACCCATCTTTATCTTTTTTCTTTATTGTGTTATAGTCAACAGCTTTTTTAATCAAGATGGAGAATGCTTTGATAATCGATTGTATTCTGTAATGAGTTCCTGTTCTTCAACTGTCTTCCGGTTCCGGCGTATTGATTTTGTTGCTTCTAGTTCTCCTACCCAATGAATATTGTCAATGGAAGACACACTATGCGATGGAGAAGAACCGTCACTATTTTGGCTATGTTTTCTGGATAAGCTTCTTTTTCTTGGAGTACTTGGTGAGGTAGGAGGTAATGTAGTTAAACTGCGAGTCATGCCACCAGAGAGTTTATCTTTCATAACCTTCTTAGCCATATTCATTGGTTTGTTATTTAACTGACCAGTCTTTGTATTTATATGTAAGTCTTCAAATTCTTTCGAAACTCTTCTTCCTCTGTTTCGGGCATATCTCATACCTGTAGAACGAAAGCAATATATTTAACGTTCAAAAGCTGGATGTACTAAGCCTAAAGGTATTTTATATTCTTGTTGATTTGGAGCGAAGTCTTTTTTTTTATTCTCCTTTCAGTTTAATTAAGTTTTTTGTGCTATAGCTGAAGTTCATTGTTTGACAGTCTTTAGGGAGCTACTTTTATGGGGGGGGGGGGGGGGGGGGGGGGGTAGGATGAAAAATGTTGTCCTGCATTTTTTTTTAGTTGTAATCTCTGTCCTGCATTTTTATTTTTCACTCTATTCGTTCCTGCCTTTTTTTTATTAGTTTATCCTGACTTTTTCACATAAATTGTCATCCTGCCTTTTTTCTTGTCAAGTTGCTCATCATGCCTTTTTTTTTTACTCAAAACTCCTGTCCCGCCTTTTTTTCAAATTTCATCCTAGCCCCCCCATAAAAATCAAATGGTAGCTCCCTTAGTTTTCTATGTTGTGTTTTGTGTACTGCTCGTTTTTCGTTTTTTGCCATAGCATTGTCATTTTGTTTTCGAATTATCATGAATATTCCTTTGATATCTTTTGCCTCTCTTTTTGACACTCCTTTTTTTCAATTATTATACATTACTTGCAGCTTTAAAAACCATATCTTCAATTTTCGTTCTATTTGGTAAATATGATACAAATCGTGTTGACAAAAGTATAAGAAGCAATCCGTGATTTTATGAAAGAAGCTATACTAAGATCATTCTAAATAATACAATGTGCCTTTGAACGTAAATTGCAAGTCAATAAATTTTGTAACTGTTCTTTAAAACAAAATTGTTACTTCCTTACAAGGTTTTTGCTGTCTTGTATAGGTCTTTTTTATCCTTCTTAAATTAAAGTGAAGGAATGGTTAACTCATACAATTTGCTGAATTCATTAACAGCCTCCAGTATGTATGTTGTTCTAAAAAGATTACCTTCTTCTTCAAAGCTTCTACCATTTTTCCTAGCAGCCTTTGGACTACCTAAAGGTCTAATTGTGATTGGATAAGGCTCTGTTGGTATCCTGATTTCATGGACACGTGGTTCCTCTGGTACAGCACTGTGACTGTGTTCCCTGTCTAAGAAAAATCAATGCGTGATAGTTAAGGTGGTACCAAACATCGGAAAAATTTCATTGGATATATAGCAGTTTGACAAACACTAATTTTGATCATTGAGAAGCTTAATATTTCCTTAACAATAGAGCGTGATTAAAACGTTCAGCTGATTTTTACAAAGTTAATTCCCTGTAGTGTTATGTACCACCTTAATACAACAATTATATTGATATACGTAAAGTGGAAACCTATGAATGGTTGTGTGATTTATATAAGGAATCGTTTAATCAGTTATCAATGAGCACCATTCAACTATTCTTATTATCGGTTCCATACCCAAATCAATTTTTAATCTGAATGCAGAAATCAAACGCAGCAGCCGATCGATTTTTTTTACAAAAAATCATTAATTATGATCGTTCTTTATAATAGTGGTATATTTAAACTTATTGTATTTTCATCGGTTTGAAAATGGTTGATATTTTGTGAATGTACATCAAACAATAATTCTACGGAATATCTACAGAAGTTGTCAATGTTCTTTATCTTGCATATACAAGTATGTCACCGCATCGCCATTCATATTTTACTTAACGACTAAACAAGACACTTTGTAGAATTATGAACTAACATACATGTATATTATCATATCAAATTCTTACATGTAAATCCTTTATGTATTTAGTAGCATGTAAATTTACTTAAGTTACTTTTAAGCTTTTAACACTTTTTAATATTTAAACTTACAACACTACTGTTTACATACACAAGTTTTAATGAAGCAGACGTAGTTTGCTCAATTGCGTCCAAAACCAGAAACCATTCGACTTGTTGACTTTTTAGCATTTGCACAAGCTTCTTTGTTTGTTTTTAATATGAGAAGCCTAAAGTTAGGTTTTTGTTTGAAGAAACTAACTTTGAGTGTCCTCTTCAAAAACATTACACACAAATATACAATATAGGTTAACTGTTATATGTTTTCTATTTTATTTTATTGTTCTTTTATCTAATTTCTTTTCATTGAAAATAAAACTTGTATAAACTTTTGAATTTGTTGATTTCTGTATGTATGATAAACTCATCATAGATACCAGGATTGAAATTTTGTATTTGCGCCAGACGCGCGTTTCGTCTACAAAAGACTCATCAGTGACGCTCGAATCAAAAAAAGTTAAAAAGGCAAAATAAAGTACGAAGTTGAAGAGCATTGAGGACCAAAAATTCCTACAAGTTTTGCCAAATACAGCTAAGGTAATCTAATCCTGAGGTAGAAAAGCCTTAGTATTTCAAAAATGAAAGTTTTGTAAACAATTAAAAAGTGAATATAAAATATTACATAAGATAAATATGTAATCATTGGTGTTTACATTTTTTTAAATGTTTAATTTTGGAGTTTCGGGAACAAACATGGAAGTTAAACGAAAGCTGGAGTTTTTCGAAATATGTAAACAATAATTAATGTAATATTTCAATCATTGATATATGTAATTTTTTATGCATTAGTAGATATAGCTGCTATTAATTTATAAATGCCAGTGCTTAATTTATTTATTTATTTATGCTTTTTAGTTTGTTAGTATTTTATGATATTTCAGTGATTGCTGGTTCCCCCATTCAATGCACATAGAGATTTTTGTCGCATGAGCATTGACCCTGGAGGTTCGGAAATCAAAATTAAATTTGCTTTCATTATATTTGCATGTTTTTCTTATTTTTAATTATTAGTATTTGCATGAAACTGCATGGTTTTTATATGATAGTCGGTTAAAGAGCTCAGCAGACTCATATTTTATCTGTTACTGTGTACATATATGCCGACTTTAAATAAAATTTACTTAGTAATACTTACTTACTTACTTACTTACTATGTATATTAATATACATTTCATTGGCCTTTCAATTTTAAAAGGGGATATTTTCCGACCTATTTCACGGCCTCGACCCAACTATCAAATGCCAACTATCTTTTCTTGATATGTGTGTTTAACAAATCCTTATCAACCAACCAAGTTCCTATAGAATTTTGGGCAAAATGTATCAATTTCTTCAAAACAACCAGTGTCTCTGCTACTTGTGTTAAAGTTGCCACCGTATAACAGCGGAATTTTCGGGTACACCAAGAAAAAAAGGTCAACATCGAAAATCCAAAGTTAACTAAACTCGTTTTAAGATTGATAAGACTAATGTTTCCGCAGTTTGGCATCATCTTCAAGTGTATGGGGTATTTCAAATGTTATAAATCAATTGTTTTATGTGCTGGGTCTTTTAAGGTTCGTTGTGTGGTTTACTGTTTTGTTGTTGTTTTCGTTTTGTCATTTGGCATTCGATTGAGACAGTATTGCGGGAATAGTTAGTTATCCTTCTACTTTTTCCCCAAGAAAGTAGAGTTGTCAACATTTGAAATGATAACAGAGCGGTCAGACAAGATATTCTTTTGATGTCTTTGATCATAACGACATTCACAAAAATCAAATGTAGAAATTATTACTGTACTTTCTATGAAAAACTCTAATAAATAGAACACTAAAACACCATACGAATAGGAATAACTAAATCAGGCGCTTTAGGAATAATACATGTGATTTCAGTGAAACCGAAACACCAACTTGTGACTAAAACTTCCAAAAATGAAAGAAAACAGCGGAATAAGAAGTAGTCATTCAATTGTGATAGTACTATATAAATATACTGGTGAATGTACAGCAAGGGGATACCCAAGTTATTTCTAGTGCCGTTTATGAGATGTTATCTATATATACAGTCAAATCAAAACGTAAATAATCACACTATTTATAATTATCAATTCTCTAATAACATTCATTTTCCCCCCCAAATAAGGAAGAAATACTTAAAATCTGAATGGATGATATTGAACCCCTTTTAGTTGATAAATACTAATCATTATCAGCTTTCTAAAATCCATGGTCAATGAATATTACCTTGTTAATCTTTATGTTACTTTATTAGGGAACGTTTAAATCGATTTAGGAAAATCTATAGTTTATAAAATTTACAAATAAAAATGTCATTGTCCTGTTTCAATGATTGGGGAAGTTCACATTCTGTTATTACAATGCAACAATTGTAAATTGAATTAAAGTGTACACATTTGTTTTTTGTCAGAATGGAAAATTTCTGATCCTTCTTAATATGTCAGGGCGATGGATCCAGGACTTTCAAAAAGGGGGCGGATGGGTCAATCCAATTTTATTTTAAGTCGTCAATCAGAAATTTGTATTATAACACAAATTGTCCACTGTAAAGAGAGGCCGGCAACCTTGTCCCTCCAAATGAATCTCCCCCTTTGTCATTATTGTTTTCAGTGAAGGTAAATAATTTCCGACTGCATGGCTTCCCTCAACTTTGAGTTTTCAGAATTTAATTTAATAACATATTGTAAAATTTCTGTACTTTTTACGTATAAAATAGTTGCCAAAGGACGTTTAAAAAATTAACATTCACATTACATAATCATTTAAATGTGTTTCTATCATGTTGTTCGAATATTCGCCTGCTAAAAGTATGGAACCTCATTAAGGGTTTTCATTAATTACATCTAAATTTGATTTATCATCAAGGGTAAAAAGAGAAAAACTAAAATGGAACATATGACCTTTTTGTCAGTAGTTTAAGGCCAAGTTGCCTTAAATGAAAAATAAAGCTAATAGTGTTGAAGTGGCGTTAGACATCGACAATCAATCAATCAATCAATTAGTCATAAAATATTGAAGTCCCTAAGAAATATATATCCTGTAGTAACGTTTTTGTCCATGTGTTTTGATTAAGTATTTCGGAAATCCTCAGAAAGATACTTTATACTTCTTTTAGTTAATTTAACTAGCCCCACTTTGAAATTAATAATTTTCAGCTGATGTAATGAAACATCAAAGCCACATTTAGCATTTTTCCAGAGTTCTTGATAAGCACCAGTAATGATAAAGGTTTATTTTCGTGCAAACTCTTTGCAATTTTCTATTTCACGTGTTTTCGTGTTTTAAGCTCACAATTCGCCGTTTTTCGTGCAAATTTGTAAAAATACAACGTGTAAATTTGTCTATTATTTTGATTTTCAAACAGCGTGAAAATTTTTATATTCTTTTATTTCACATTCTCCGGGCACATATCCCCCCTTTTACGACTCTCTTATGACAAAGTTTGCGTTGAGAGGAAATTTATCTCTTGTTTAAAACTTGTATCTCAAATTCTGTAAACTAAGGGTCGAAGTTTCAATTATACGTGTAAAAGATTTGGATAAAATGAACGTTTGTGTCTTTAAAAGATGTGTAAACGTCTTGAAAATGATACGACTCTGCATGAATGAAGGTCTGAAAGGGTGTGTCCCTCGATTCTGTATTCTTTAATTTTTCAAGCCATTTTTCTCTATTATTTATATTCTATCACCTCATTATTCCGTAATATTTATTTTTCGGGCCAATTTTTCTCTATTATTTATTTTTTTACCCATTTTTCTGTAGTTTTGGTCCATTATTCTCTATTCTGTGACCTCCACCCAGACCCTCAGAAATATACACCGTGTCATTTTTTAAGTACGTATCACATTAAAAGATAGATATAAGATAAAACATAATTGAAAAGGCAAAAGGGGGTCAGAAAGGATACTGAATCAATTCGTTTTGCACAATTTATCTATTACTGTCGTCTGCTTCTATACAAATACCTTGTTATAAAAACTTCACGACGAAGATCAATGAAAATGTATACGAGTATTCCTTTTCTACAAAACTATAACAAGTCAAATACCTTGCCCCAATTCTTTCTTTGAAAGCAGACATTCCAATTAAATAGTCAATAGTTAAAAAGGAAATAATTATTTGTATTTACTAGACTCATTTAATAATGCAACACTATACTAAATCAATTCTAGTTTACCAACATTCTATACGTTATTCAATTTCACTTTACAGTTTTAATTAATATTTGTCTTCCGCCAATTAGATTTCAACTTATAACCGAAAATTATCATGTAATATTTATACTTTTGATTTCGGAACTGAAAAACA